GTTTGAACACTCGGTGATCATCCATATTTGTGTTCATTTGGAGTTCCCGGAGGTCTCGGCTACGTGCCTTGCCTCAGGATCTCCGAATTCGACCGTTTAGTGTCTGGTTTTGCACCAAACACTTTCATTTTGCCTTGGAGGGGGCAGGGAATGCCTTGTGAGGCATCCCCACACACCACCGGCCATGGCCAGAGGCCACCGGCTGGTTTTTGCTTCCACCGGCCATGTATATTGCCGGTCGGCACTATTTGTTGCCGGTCGGCACTCATTTTTGCCAAAATGGCATCTTTGCCTGGCCGACTACTGTGCATCTGCTTTTGCAGATATTTTGTCACAGCTGGCTTGCATTTGGCTCCCCTCCATACACGTGTATGGAGGGATCTCCCTCTTTAGAAGCTTGTCTTGTAAGCTTTACAAGACAAGGAGCTCTATAAGAGGAGCCCTTCTCTCCTTTGTTTAGGGTTGGACTTTTAGAGAGTTTAGACAGGCATTTTTAGGGTTTTGAGTTCTAGGGTTAGAATCCATACACTTTCTATCTCTATATCTCCCTCTTGTGTGTGTTTAAGTGTGTTTGTGTCTTACTATTGCACACAAACACATAGTGTTTCACCTTCACTTAGCTACTGAGGTTCTAAGAGGTTGGTTTTGAAGTTTTGGAGCTGTTTTCAACCTAAAAGGAGCTGTTGGAGCATCATTGTTGAAGGGGTCTTCAAGGGTAAGAAACTAGCCCCTTTATTCCCCATTTTTGCATTGCTTTTCTACCTGTCTTAAAATCATTTTTGAGCTTGGGTTGTATATACAAAAAGTTCTGTGTTTAGGCCCTCTAAATTGTTTGTTTAGAGTGTTTTGTGGTTTGAGTGGTTTTGACCCTCCTAGGCTTCGAAAGGCCCATTTTGTGCTATTTTGTGCAAGTTTTCGAGACTTTGGTGTTTGGGCCTCTTCACCACTGAAATCTTGAGGGATTTCAGTGTGGAAGATGGTGCCTTGAAGTCTCCAAAAGGGAGGCACCCCCTCTCCTTGTATGTCCTTGAAATGGACCCTTTTTAGCTTCTTGAGGGAGCCATCTAGCTAAGCTTCATGTTGATCATGTCTTGGTCTCTCTCCTCGTAGGTGATTCGCCATGATATAACCTTGTTGTGTGTTGGTTTTGGTACACCATGCATGCTTAGCATACCTACCATGTAATGCCTTGTTATTGCCTTAATATGCCTTAGGTTGTTAGCCTTTGTTCAAGCATGTTTTAGGCTTAGTCTTGTGAAGCTTTTGTGCATATTTTGCCATGTTTAAGGTCTGTCCTAGGTTGTTTGGGTCGGATTTGGCATGATTAGTATAGCCCCTTTGCATTCCGGCTTGTTGGCCTTAAGTATGTGAATGTATAGGATGACATTTTTGCGTTGATTTGGTGATTTGGAACCATCCACCATGTCATTTCAGTCCCCTTTGCATGCCTATATGTTTGCCTTAGACGCATCTTTAATGCTTTGAAAGCTTGTGTAGCATGCTCCATGTTTTGGCCATTGCACATGCCTTTGAATTTGAGCCACTTAGATGCCATCTAAGAGTCCCCTTTGCGTGGTCTAGGGCTGTCTTGAACCTATTTTAAGTCCTCTTAGCCTTGTGAGGCTTGGTTGACTTAGTCATGGTTCAAGTCCCTTTGACTTGCTTCAAGTACTTGGGCCTTTCATTGCATGCTTGCTCTATTTTGTTTGCATGGTTTGACACCATCTTAGCATGATTTTCAGAGCTTATGTTGCATGCTAATTGTCCATTGTATCCCTTTTCAAATGTGCTTGAGAGTTGCCTCACTTGTGCCTAAGCATTGGCCCTTTAACATGTGCATGTGTGTATGTGTATTTGGTCCTTTATTTTGGTTACTTTGGCCACTTTTTTAGGCCTATTTAGAGTTGCCTAAATCATGTATAAGTCCATCTTTTTATCCATTTGCATTGCCTCATGTTTGCTTGTATGCTTGCACAAGTGTCTTGCCATGCCATGTTGCATCCTTAGTTTGCATGCCTAGGTTGCATTTCATCTTGCATGCATGCCTTGTTCCTCGACTTAATGATAGGAATTGGGCCTTGGTTTGTTTGTTTGGTTTGCACTTCATTTGACATGAAAGTTGCACACTTGATTACTTGGGCCATCATGGATGGAAATGCGTGATTGGTGGTCCGAGAACCAAGGAGCATGTTCCTTTGAGTCATTACCATGATAAGGGACATGATCGGTGCATACATTGTTTGAATTGTATTGCCATGCAAGTTCTGTCCTCTGCTGCTGTAAGTTGCAGGTTCTGTAGGCATTCTTTGCCGACCGGCAGTGAATAACCAGCCGATGGATTCATTTTGTGCCGGTGACCACATGACACTATCGGTAGGCACTCTACCCAGCCGGTGGTGATTCCAAGTATCCAGAGAGGCATCCTTGAGACTTTGACAGTCTTCAGAGAGGCAGAGCAGGGAAAACAGAGGCAGACTATGCATGGCGGTGCACTTCCGAGCAGGACCTGAGCACGCACTGCATCTAGCTCCCTTCCCGAGGCGGTTTACTGCTTTTTCTAGTTTTAGTTAATTTGCTTAGCTGATTAGGCAATTTGTAATATTTAATTAGCTTGCGTAGTTAATTAATTTGTATTATTTATTTGGTCCCTCCGAGCGAGGGCAAATCTATAATAAGTGTGTGTGAGTAGTGTGTATGTCTTCCAATCCCCACTTCTTTCTTCCCTTTTACTTATCTGGTTAAGATGGTAGACTAGGGCACTTTTAAAATTAGCATACCTTATGCAATGCATGCGTGCATTCATGCATTTGTCTTGCATGCACTAGGCTCGGTACATCATGCTAACTGCATTCGAACTTCAATTCCAAATTGAATACGTGCATCAATTGACTGCGTTTCACATGCCACATTTAGGTTAGCCGAGCCTACTTCGATTGCATCCTGTATGTGTTGCATTAGACATTTAAACATGGACTTGGATCATGCATTGATTGCTAACGGGTTCTTTGTTTTGGCATGGAGTATTGTGTGAGTATTTTCCTGCTTTAGTATATCGCATGCGTGTGAATGCTATCATGACAGCATGCTTACCATATGGCTAGATGCTTATGCGTTAAATTGCTTGAATGCCTGTGGGTGAAGGTTGGATTGTTTGAGTTGGGAAAACTCGTCGAAATCTGTATTTTAGCCTACTTGCGAGTTGCAAATTCCAAAACATCTTTCCAAAACAAATGGATACGCAATGTTTATTTCCAAATTAGGCAATCTAGTCTATACTTGTTTGCTGCGCGCATAACATAGTAATTCTAGGCTAATAACTGGAATAAGAACACATAACGTTTTCAAAATCAGATATCACGGTTAGTAGAGGCCGGTCTTTGGACCGGACGAAAGGGGGTGCTCATAGCTGACCTTCCCCGATCGTACCCAAGCTCCCGAGCCGAGACAACTCTGGTGATGACGGACATGTGGCCTTCGGCACCGAGTCAGGGTTTCCTAAATTTTCCCATTAAAAAATATTTAGGTGGCGACTCTGTATCTGGCAAAGCAGTCCATGTTTGGCACTTCTTTTCAAAAAATCTGTTTCTCAAAACGATTTGCCGGATTTGGACTCTTTGGTTCAGATTAAGAACCGTGAAACAAAATCGAGTCCAAACTGTGGCGAGGTCCCCCGCGGACGTGTTACATACATCCATTTCCATTAAATCCCAAATGCCAAATACATGTTATTCATATCTCAATGCCCCAGTTTCAATCTTAAGCATACATTTTACAACAAGTTTGAAATGGAAACCAAACAGATAATAAGTGCCCTACAGGCTTACAAATTTATCCAAGAACATTCTTGGTTACACAAAATAGAGTTTCAACTCAATGCAAATATAGCCCTGGACTTACATTCAATAAATAACAATAAAACAAAAATGAAGCCTCAGCACCTAGTCCTCCCAAGTCAATGCCTTGGCGGAGACATAGCACTTGTACCTGAAATGGTTTCCCTTATAGGGTGAGCCACAACCCAGTAGAGATATACTACACAACATATGAACCATGACAAGACTAAAGAGGAGTATACTCATGCCCTGCTCATAATAAAACAATTTATCTCTCTTTTTATAAAACATACAATGCTGAGATGCAACAACAGATATAAAACTATTTCCATTTTTAAACTATATCTGTTACATAAATACAGGCTCTATGAATCTCTAGGTGAGTGTCTGTAAGTAGGCCCTAATGGACTACCACTGTCATTTTTACCAGTAAACTGGAAAGCTCGACACATAACCGTAGGATTCTACACCTCGTACCCAGATTCACCAAGTATTCATCTTTTCGCAAACATATATATTTCCAAACATTTCTAAAAAATAGAGACGTTTCCAATGAAATGAATGTAATGCAATTTATCTATAGCCCAAAACAGATATTTCTAAACAGATATTTAAACAATTAAATCTCAAAAAAAAAAATAAAAATTGATAAATACAATCTATTCCACAGCTTATCAAATATGAACAACTACACTAGTTTTCATATCACAATCACGTCCGGTAACTTCTCAAGGTACATTTCTAATCGTGTCGGTTTTATTCTAACAAATACATTGAGCAAAATAATACTGTTAATGCCCAAGAAAATATCATTTTCTTTCAAAACTCATTCTTCAAGCATTATTCAACTATGACATCTTATTTTGATCAAAAGCCCCAAAAGTTAAACATAATTCATTTGTTTTCTTTAAAAATAGTCTCTTGGTTGCAAACCGGTAAAAATTTCAAAACCGATCAAGTCGAACTCCGTTTTCGTTCAAATTTAAAACATAGCTCTTTCATAACCTTACAAACATATTCCAAGTTTACACTTTCGCAATTTGGGCATCAACTCTTTATTTTTCTCAAAATTTCTTTTTTAAGCAAATAAATTACAAATTTTTCAAAAATTCTAATGAAATTATATACAACTCTAAACTCCATATAATCAAGTAAAAGTGCATAAAGAAGTGTAGGAAAAATCCCTACCTCGATCCAACAGCTTCCAAGAAAATAAAAATTCCCAACGACAATAATTCGATTCATTTAGATTAAATTGGAGCCCTCAGAACCCTCTACAATTTGATCTATGGAACTAGGGTCTAAAACCAGCAGAACCATTAGAATTGTCAGTAGACGAGTGGAGATCTATATTTTTATTCAGGATCTTGAGAACTTCCTCATTATGGTCTGCTAATATGACTTCGCAGCAAACTCTGCTGTAGAGAATTCTAGTAACACCTTAGAATTGAAAGGTGGTCGACTACTCCACACTCCCAAGACATATGGAGCATCGACTATGAAAACCGGCCTTCTGTAATTTCATCATTTTATTGATCCAGAATAAGATTTTATCTTATGGAGCTGTCCATATGATCACACAGAAACTTCAAGGGAACAAAGAAGCCCAAAACTCCTTGACAGAGGAAGAAACAATTCACCATTGAACAGAGGATAGTGATTGAAGAATAATTTTCTGAGAAACAGCTTCACTTTCTGGGTCTCTATAAATCCTCAACTTCAAGACCAACACCAGAGCATAATTCTATCACAGAACATCTGCTAAGCATCTCAGGATTTTTTGAAAGGTAAATATTCAAAAGAGTTGCACCAGGCCACACCAAATGACTCGTCAAATCAAAATCAGTTGAGGCAGATTGGAGGCAAAAGAACTGAAGAACTTGAGATACAAAAGTGATAGTAGGGAGCTGGTAATCTTCAGCCACATGCTGCTTTTTGGTGCCACTACCTGCATCATGATGTTGAGCAATTGCCAAAGCATTAGCTAAAGTGTATATAGTGGGTCCTATTTTATTCCTCCCTCTAAAAAAATTCCAATTGCCTTGCAAGCAAATAATATCCACTCGTCAGTCTCACATAGCGTTTTAGAGAAAGCCAGCTATAAAAATTTGGGTCATTACAGCTAAATTGTCTTTTTTTTTTTCTTCTTATTTTTTCGGGAATTATTCTATATTCAATATTAATTTTATATTATGGATTTGTCGTTTAAATTTATAGTCATTCTATATATGAAATTATACTTTATTTCCTACATTATTTTATATGATCACAACTCATAGGAGGAAAAAATGTATAACAATGATACTCTCGATGAATATTTGAAGTTTGGATTTACTGCTTGAGTTACTTTTTCAATTATTGAATAATAAGTTCTTTTATGCTTTGACATCATATTACAAATGATTAATCACTTTACACACTTAGATATATATGCTTTTATTATTTTTTATTTTTGGATTTAAATATTGTTACATGATTCTTTCTTGGTTAGTCATTGTTGAATTTCTTTTATATAGTTGATATTTTAATTTAATTAAGAGTATTTATTTTACAATCTTATAATTTAATATATATATATATATATACACACATATCATATAAAATCATTATATGATAATCCAACTACAACATATTTATATTTAGTTTTTTTAATAAATTTTATATAATTTCTATTTCTACATATTTTTATATTACTAATTCTTATTCTAATTTAACTATTATTTTTAATATCAAAATAAGTATTTATTTTACTATTTTATAATTTAATATATATCACACAAAATTATTATATGATAATTATATTTTTATAATATGATAGAACTAAAATTATCAAAATACACAAATAATTTAAATAAAATCTATATAACAAAACAACTCTATTTTTTTTTCTTGATGGGACTTTTGTCTCTTTGTCAAAATATGAACCATTGGATTGAACTCAATCCAAAGGCTTACAGTGTCTCACTCTCTATTTGGTCCAAGATCATTTTTCAACCCACGGCCCCTATCTCTCAGACACACACTCTCATCTCTTTGTTTCTGATTTCAAATTTTGAAATCTGACCCACCTTCTCTCTCTTTCTCTCTCCCTATCAACCCTTGCAGGCAACGGAACCCAAAACCCCTATTAGTCTCTTCATCTTCTCTCTTCCTCCCTTCTCTCTTCCTAATCGTCATCTTCTCTCTTCCGACCGAATGGATCAACTATATATATGACTCAGAGATGGGACCGAATGTATGTATATATATGCATTTATTGTCATATCTTATTCTCCGAGTTTTGAACCATAACATCGTGCAAGGTATATTCGGTTCAAGTGAAATTCATGTTGGTCTGTTTGGTGTATTATTCTCTTTATTTATTTATTTTTCCCCTATTTTATTTATTATTTATTTAATTTGTGATTTGTGAATCAGATCATGCTTGATCCACAAGGGGTGAGTAAGGGTTCTGGTTTTGTGGCCTTCTCAACCTCCGTGGAAGCTACAAGAGCTGTAAGACTGCCTTCTCTTTTTGAACTTCAGATCTCTCTTTCCTATAATTCAACCACATAGTTTGTGTAATTCATTGTGTTGAATGTTATCCATGTTCTTCAGTTGAATGCGATGAATGCCAAGATGATTGGACATAAACCTTTATATGTTGCCGTGGCCCAGCGCAAAGATGAAAGGAGGGCACAATTGCAGGTGATTTTATTCATTGAATCATTTCTTAGTAATGTAATGCAATGTAATATAGTCTCTCTCTCTCTCTCTCTCTCTGATTTTATATATGATTATGGATGTATATTGATTGAACTTCAGAGACAGTTTTTAAACCCTTAATTTGTTGTCATATTTTTTTTTTCATCTTATTTTTTGTTCATCTTTTTCATCTTATAGAATGATCCGATAAGTCATGTATTGCAAGTGTTTGATAGAATGACCCAATAAGTTTTCTTTATATAGGCACACAACTAGAACTTATTTCCTAAACACATGTTCAGGAAATAAACCAATCATATTTTTTTGTTTTGTTTTGTTTTTTTATTTTTTGGTGCGAGTTTATTGGACTCAAATCAATTATGATCATTACACGTGTGTTTAATAGAATGATCAACAAATTGGACATTTTTGGGGATTAATCTAAACAGTTTTTTGGAGATTAATCTAGACAGTTTTTTGTTGTGGTAGGGAAGGTTTGTTTTGGGTTACCTATTTTTCCATTCTTTTTTTTTTTTTTAATTTCTTTTTTACCATATTAATCTAGACAGCTCTGTTCTTTTTTATTTTATTTTATTTTATTGCTGTTCTGGGTTATACAGTTTTTAAACCCTTAATTTGTTGTCATATTTTTTTTTTCATCTTATTTTTTGTTCATCTTTTTCATCTTATAGAATGACCCAATAAGTCATGTATTGCAAGTGTTTGATAGAATGACCCAATAAGTTTTCTTTATATAGGCACATAACTAGAACTCATTTCCTAAACACATGTTCAGGAAATAAACCAATCATGTTTTTTTGTTTTGTTTTTTTATTTTTTGGTGTGAGTTTACTAGACTCAAATCAATTATGATCATTACACGTGTGTTTGATAGAATGATCAACAAATTGGATATTTTTGGGGATTAATCTAGACAGTTTTTTGGGGATTAATATAGACAGTTTTTTGTTGTGGTAGGGAAGGTTTGTTTTGGGTTGCCTATTTTTGCATTCTTTTTTTTTTAAATTTCTTTTTTACCATATTAATCTAGACAGCTCTGTTTTTTTTTTTTTTTTTTTTAATTTAGTGCCATATGTTACAAGGGCTTTATGCCATTTTCAAGGGCCTTAGTGCCATATGTTACAAGGGCTTTATGCCATTTTCAAGGGCTTTAACGCCAACAAGTTTCAAGGGCCTTAGTGCCATATGTTACAAGGGCTTTATGCCATTTTCAAGGGCCTTAGTGCCATATGTTACAAGGGCTTTATGCCATTTTCAAGGGCCTTAGTGCCATATGTTACAAGGGCTTTATGCCATTTTCAAGGGCCTTAGTGCCATATGTTACAAGGGCTTTATGCCATTTTCAAGGGCCTTAGTGCCATATGTTACAAGGGCTTTATGCCATTTTCAAGGGCCTTAGTGCCATATGTTACAAGGGCTTTATGCCATTTTCAAGGGCTTTAACGCCAACAAGTTTCAAGGGCCTTAGTGCCATATGTTACAAGGGCTTTATGCCATTTTCAAGGGCCTTAGTGCCATATGTTACAAGGGCTTTATGCCATTTTCAAGGGCCTTAGTGCCATATGTTACAAGGGCTTTATGCCATTTTCAAGGGCCTTAGTGCCATATGTTACAAGGGCTTTATGCCATTTTCAAGGGCCTTAGTGCCATATGTTACAAGGGCTTTATGCCATTTTCAAGGGCCTTAGTGCCATATGTTACAAGGGCTTTATGCCATTTTCAAGGGCTTTAACGCCAACAAGTTTCAAGGGCCTTAGTGCCATATGTTACAAGGGCTTTATGCCATTTTCAAGGGCCTTAGTGCCATATGTTACAAGGGCTTTATGCCATTTTCAAGGGCCTTAGTGCCATATGTTACAAGGGCTTTATGCCATTTTCAAGGGCCTTAGTGCCATATGTTACAAGGGCTTTATGCCATTTTCAAGGGCCTTAGTGCCATATGTTACAAGGGCTTTATGCCATTTTCAAGGGCCTTAGTGCCATATGTTACAAGGGCTTTATGCCATTTTCAAGGGCTTTAACGCCAACAAGTTTCAAGGGCCTTAGTGCCATATGTTACAAGGGCTTTATGCCATTTTCAAGGGCCTTAGTGCCATATGTTACAAGGGCTTTATGCCATTTTCAAGGGCCTTAGTGCCATATGTTACAAGGGCTTTATGCCATTTTCAAGGGCCTTAGTGCCATATGTTACAAGGGCTTTATGCCATTTTCAAGGGCCTTAGTGCCATATGTTACAAGGGCTTTATGCCATTTTCAAGGGCCTTAGTGCCATATGTTACAAGGGCTTTATGCCATTTTCAAGGGCTTTAACGCATGCCATTTTCAAGGGCCTTAGTGCCATATGTTACAAGGGCTTTATGCCATTTTCAAGGGCTTTAACGCCAACAAGTTTCAAGGGCCTTAGTGCCATATGTTACAAGGGCTTTATGCCATTTTCAAGGGCTTTAACGCCAACAAGTTTCAATGGCCTTAGTGCCATATGTTACAAGGGCTTTATGCCACAAGTTACAACGGCCTCGTGCCACACGTTTCAAGGGCCTCGTGCCACCATGTTTCAGAGGCTCTATAGCCATCATGTTTATGTTGCAGGATTGGGCTTAAGGCCATATGAAATGAAAACAGGAACAGATTAACTACATGATCTTCGCATTTATTTATGCATTGTTATGTATTATGTTTAAATTGTGCATTTATGTTTCATACTATTCACTGAGCCCGGCTCACCCTCTGTTATGTCTGTTTCTGTAGGCACTCAACTTGGAGATTTAACCTGCACCTGTGGCTTTTGTTACCCAGTTGTCAAACCTTGAGTATCGAAGCTATTAGATGTTGATTGTTCAAGTTATGGAGTTTTGCTAAGTTTTAATTTGTACCCTAATTGTCTCTTAAGATCGGCGTATATGTATATGTACATAGCTATCTTCGGATGCATGACAATGTATATTATCTGCATTATGTTTTGTTTGGGATCCTGGCATAGTAATGGTAGCTCAATGGATATGTTTATTATTATTATTATTTTACGCTATTATATACTATTAAATGCTTCCGTTCAAGCCCCATAGATTATATTCATCAGGCTTTATGTCCTTTTTTCTGAGGTGGTCATGCCCAAACTTTTAGGGGCGAGTTCTGGGTGTGACAAGAAGAAACTGCTCTCCTCTGGTGTAGCCAAGGCCCGCCTAACAGTAGATTAAAGGTTGCTGGCACATTCATGATGTGGAAGTTAGCCTCATGCTCAAATGGACCGACCAAAATTTGGACTTTGATAGTCCCCATAATGTCACGGTTGGTGTTGTCATAAGCTCGGACGACTTGATTTGTAGGTGTGAAGTCAACTGGTTTCAAACCTATGGCATAGGCAGTCCTTGCAGGACACACGTTGTTTGCAGACCTGGTATCAGCTAGGACCACTAGGATCCACTTCTTTCTGCACTCTAGCGACACATACAAAGTCTTGTTATGGTTGGTCCCCTTGCGTGGTAGTTCTTTATCAGAAAAGGAAAGCGCTGGGTTTGCCTCCCAGGGCATGATCAAAGACACAATCTTATTTGTCATAACCTCTATTGGCATCTTGGCTTTGTTCATTGCTAACAGTAAAGCTTGGCGATGCTCTTGGGAAGCCACGAGCAACCCCTAGATCGAGATATCAACATGGATCTTCTTCAACTGCTTTAGCATAAGGTCTTCTTCTACTTCTACTTCTACTTCTTTCTTCTTCTTTGTATCCTTACCTGATGGTTCACCCTAATCCAAATATGGGGGTTTGACATAATGCCCACTCTTGGTCAAGTGGTCAACCTTTTCAGTGTACCATGTATTATCGGGGGGCATTGGTCCCCCATCCTTCGCCGGTGTAAGTAAAATGTAGGTCATTGTCTTTCCACCATTCCCCTTCAGTTATTGATAGGCAATTGTCTAGCTCCACTTGGATCACGACAACATCACAACTTTTGCCGTCGGGTTAATATGGCGAGGTTAGGTCGATTCTTGAAAAGATTTCTCTCTTCCTGATTTGAGTCAATGCGCTATTGGCATGCTGCTTCTCTTCTAAGGTTGATCCAATTTCCGCCTCCTGACGATGTCTTAGTTTTCTAAACATCTTCTCATTGTTCCCAGGTTTCCTTCCAGGTTTTTCTTTAGTTTTGACATCACTCTCTCCTGACTCGACGTCTTCTTTTCCTTTTCCTTTCCTCTGTAAAATCGTCTCTTCTAGGCTTGTTCTTGAATTTCCCCCCTTGTATATTTCCAAGGTTTCAATCTCTCATCTTCCTGTTTCTTCATCACTGCCCACTTTAGGTTCTTCCATACTGCTCATCCATCCTGCATTGGTTTCAGACTCTCTCAGATCATACCACCCAAACTGAATGTCTCCAAGGTTCTGCTCTTCAAAGAAGCAGAGATTGTCCAAGTCCTCTTTTAAACCAGCCAGATCATCCAAGTTTTGTTTCGGTCTATTCTTCTCAACCACA